TTCCCCTTTGCCCCTTTTCTTCCTATTTCACGTTATTTATTATACCTTTTAGTCCTTATTTACACTTTCAGTTTCAGATGCGTATTTTTAAGAGTCTAAGGTGGAGAGATGTTTTCAGAGTTCTTTTTTGATGATTTGGCAATAAATGTCTCTCTTTTTTAAAAAATTTTCGTAACACCCCTCACACATTTTAGTGTCTAATTTTTTTTTCTATGTCAACATGCAAGGGAAGATTGTGTACTCATATTTTTTTATTCTTTGATTTTTCTCTCCCAGTTTTTTATTCTCTGCCTTGGGCACCCCAACTCCTACACCCTACCCCCACCCTGCCTTGCAATAGCTCTGGCATATAGTTCCAGTTCTCCAAAGCAGATATTGTTTTAGGCAAATGTCACATTATTTTGAATATACTTGTGTTTAGGCATTTCTTTTGGGGGAATATGAAATCTTTTAAAAGTGTATCTTGCTAAGATTGCTCACAGCAAGGCCACATATGCTACAACTCCTGAAAACCACTAACATGTGAAAATATTTATGAAATTTATTGGGTGAGGGTCGAGGTAGAGTCTGGAGTAGCAGAGCCTGGGTCACCCCTTGATGGGGTCTGTGTCACTAGGACATAAAAGAAGGTGGTTTCAATAAGCCAAGTCTGTAAAATTCCAGTCCTAGAGCCAACTTCTAATTTTTTTAGTAAATGATTATTTACTTAAGGGATTACTCAGAACATTGATTTGTTCAACTGTAAACATTATAATAATATGGAACATTATAGAAGGTGAATAACTTAAATGACTTACCTTACATGTACTTTCAACTCTACTATGAAGTTTAAGAATGAAATTACTGATGTGTTTCATTGTGCTTATCTGAGCTCAGAATTTTCAAAATCCTATCTTCCAGGAGACTGGTGTCTCTCTCTAGGAGTGAATGGTGTTCCATCACATGTGCTGCCCCTGGAGGGCTATAAGCCACGGCACCATCAACGTAAGCATTCTTTGCAATCCCAATTGCCATGCATTACTATTATTATTTTTTTTATAGTTATGGCAGTTTTGCTTTTTAAAGAAACTGGCCAATTCTGAGTGTCTTAACAATGGGAGAAGTTGATATCTAATAAAACAATACATTCTTTCTAATTACTTTTAAAATCTCCTTCTTAAAGGCTCTTGAGAGAAAGTCAAAAGTCAGGGAAGGAAAGAAGCTTTTGCTCCTGGGGCCCAGTGGGAAGCAGCAGGTGACAGATCGTATTTTCTCAGGAGACCCAGATTACTCATTATTTTGGTGTTTGTGCTAGCAAACACCTTAAAAGTAAAATATTAATTTCCCTTTTGGATTACTTAGGATATTATTTTTAATGCTGAAGTTTTCCACACTATCCTTGGCCACAATATTTTTTTTCAGAATGAATAAAAAAATTACGTGGCTGTTTCCAACAGCACCCAAAAATAGATTTTGAAAGCTTTAATTTCCTATGATTTTTCTTGTTGAAATTCTTAATGACAATTTTTCTTTGAAGAAGAATTAAGGAAAAGAGGACAGAAAGAAAGAAAGAAAAGCATTTAACATTACACATCAAAATGCGTTTTGTTGGTAAGGCATGAGGTTCTCCTTAAAACATCCAAAGGATGTTTCTAAATTGAAATTCCACCAACTTCTATGTAAAAATCCCAAACAATTAAAACATGAAAGTTTCTAACCGAGAATAAGCTTCAGGATATTCAGACTACTCTGGACCTGCTCAAAGTCATGCCTGTCCATTTGCATCTGTCATCTCAAACATGGTCTGTTAGAGAACAGCAAGGACAAAAGGGCTTTCTTAATCTATCCAGCTGCATCCCACTCCTGCCAGAGCTTCTCTGGGCTATGCCTAGGGTACAAGAGGCAAGCCAGAAAAGCGTGAAACCAACCACAGTTTGGGCTTCTCTACTCACTGCTCCCTGCCCTGCCTATCCCACTATGAACTCCAATTCTAAGTGGCCAGAGATTTTAAATCCCTGTCCAAGTCCCTGTCCAAGTCCCTCTCTGCACAAGGGGCAGCCCCTAGAGAGGAGCACATTCCAAACCAGGAAACATTCATGGCAGCTTCTTCAGCACTAAGCAGACAACATGTTGGGAATTTTGCTGTTACTTCCTTTGGAAGAGCTTAGTGGGATGTTCTTAATGTCCTTACAAGGAACTGTGTTTAAGAGCATAACAAGTTATTAAATTACTTGGGGAGAAAAATGCACCAGAAGCATGATAGTATACAGTGAAAATGAATCTCATATTTCTACTTAGTATTATGTAAGACTGTATATGAATGAGTTGTTTGTTTTAACTAAGTTCTGAGGAAAGAGATAGATCTTGAGTTTAATAAAAATGCAGACTCAATCTAGAGCATCTATAGGGAAGTTGTAGGGATCTGAGTGTTCTGACTCTCCTTCTGTCCATTTTAGGTTAGGTGACAGAGTAACAACTTTAGGAAAA